TGGCCTAAGTGTTAATTGGACTGTGGGTGGGAATAAACACTGAAATATCACAGGGTAGATGATACACATCAGCTGCCTTGGGTGAGATCCTCAGATGTTGCATGACACAGTACAAATGAGGACATTTAGTCTTTGGTTCTGGTTTTAGTTTTACTGTGGTAAGAACACTTAAAATGAGATCTACCCTCTTAACAAAATTTTAAGTGTGCAATACAGTACTGTCAACTACAGGCAGAATGCTGTGCAGCACATCTCTAGATCTTGTTCATCTTGAATAAATGGAAGTTTATACCATTTAACCTAATTTCCCCCTTGCCCCAGCCCCTGGCAACCACCCATTTTACTCTGTTTCTGTGAGTTTGACTCCTTTAGGTACTTTATGTAAGTGGAATTATGCAGTTTTTGTCTTTCTGGGTCTGACTTATTTCACTTAACATAATTCCCTCCTCCAGATCCATCCATGTTGCTGCATATGGCAGGATTTCCTTTTATAAGTCAGAATAATATTTTATTGTCTGTATAAACCACATTTTCTTTATCCATTCATCTACTGATGGACATTCAGGTTGTTTCCACACCTTGGCTGTTGTGAATAGTGCTGAAGTGATCATGGGTGCAGGTGCCTCTTGGTGATCCTGATTTCAGTTCTTTTGGACGTATACCCAAAAATGGGATTGCCATGTCATATGGTAATTCTATTTTTAATTTTTTGAGAAACTGCCATGCTATTTTCCACAGCAGCTGCAACATTTTACACTCCCACCAACAGTGTGCAAAGGTTCTAGTTTCTCCACATCCTTCCAATACTTAACTTTTATTTGTTTTGTGTGTGTGTTTTTTTTTTTTTTTTAAGTAATATACCTAGCAGGTATGAGGTGTTATATCATTGTGGTTTTGATCTGCATTTCCCTGGTGAATAGCAATGCTCAGAATATTTGCATGTACCTGTTGGCCATTCATCTGAAAGTTCATCATGTGATACAAAAGCCAGGGATCTTCAAAACACACCGTTGTTTCTAAGTCAGGCCCTGCGACCATCTAGAGGATGTGTTAGAGCCCTCTGAGCCTGAGGTGCCTCGTGTGAATTCAGACAGCCAAGCTCTACAACACCTGCTGTTGTAAGGCCCTATGACTTGCCTTTGCCTTAGTGTGTGGGATGTGCAAAGAAACCCATTAGAGACCAAGCTCCAACTCACATTACAAAGAGGGGGAAAAAAAAAAAAACCTGCCAGCAAGTGTTCCCTTCAGTGATAATAGACATAGGAAAGCGTTTTTGAAATTTTAAAATTCTAGGTGGACACCTGCCTGCCTTCTTATTGTTGATATTATAACCAGTGTCAGATATTTGATTGATTCTTCCTAACTTTCTGATATACCTTATTAGCTGTTAGGGAAAACATTGTTCAATTCTGCAAGTTTGTATAAACTGTTGAATCATAAAATTTCCAGTTTGGTTGCAAACTTATTTTTGAATTGTCTTCAAATGCTTTTGTTATGTTTTTACTTTTTGAAAATTAAAATGTTATCGTAAAGATGTTTTTGCTCATGCTTATCAAAAATGCTTTCTTTTTATATGTGCCTATATCTAAAGAGAAATATTACTCTATCAAGATGTATTACATCATGATACATGTATTAAAATACAATCTAAGTTATTCTAGCCAAAACAACTTTGTGTCCTGAATAATTTTGGCATTCCCTGTCTCAAGTTTCCTTCTGTTTCTTTATTTAGGAGACAGAGTAAATAAAATATAATACTGTCTTCATATAGTAATAGTGAGTCTCTCATCAGCTTTTTCATTAGCCACAGTTAAGATTGGCGTTCTCCCCTGATCAGGACCTGACACCTTCTTTGACAGAGTCCGCAGCTGTGCTCTGAGACTCGGCAGCAATAGGGCAGACTGCTAGTAAGACAGAAGCACAGTCAGGAATCAGCTGAACAGCAGATCATGTCTGACGTTGTCACAAACCCAAGCCAACATGAGGTCTTAGTTTTATAAATGTCAGCTAACACAGGACTGAGCATTGAGGTCCCCCAGTTCCAAGTGGGCCAGCTGACTCCAGCACTCAGGAGGCCAGTCTGCAGGGGTCAGGAGCCCGGCCTGGAGAAAACAGGAGGTTAACAGAGCAGGCAGAGAAATGATCTGGGTTATGAGCAGTCATGGAAACACTTAGTCAGGGACCAGTTCTGCCCTTAATCTCCAATCCAAAGTCTGGCTGCACATTTTCAGATTCCTCTCTTTAGTATTTAAACATGCCATTGAGTCTGTGTGGTTGTACTTAGTTGGGCTATTTAGTGCCTGAATTTACTGAGCATCTTTCACGGTTACTTTCCTCATGG